AAAAAACGTTTAACCGGTTTGAGTGAGCAGAGCTAATTCACCGCCTCGTTTTAAGACAGCGAGCTGCTCGGTCTGACGGCTCGCGCCTTTGTCTTTGCCATAGTTCTTTTACAGTAAGGGTAGAAGCCCACTTTTGGCAATGGATAGTGCTGTGGGAAGGGCTGAGGTTCAGCATGTGGGGGCGAGGCACCGGTCACTTTCAGAAAATGGGCGTTTTGATGAAAGGTGTAGACGCTTTACTACTACTACGTAGCATAGGCAGAGCTCTGTTTCTGGCATTCCTTTCTCAGATCTATTTGTCGTGCTCAGAGAAGCAATTCAGCTGGCTCACGGTGAACTGTTTAGAGGCAGAAAGCGGCTCATCCAGAACTGGCAGATTTTATTTTCAGTTTTCATTTCAGTAAAAGCGCGGAGTGTACAAGATGACGGGTGGAAGTGTAGGTGTCCTCAAACCTCCGACTTTTTGCTTCTGATTTTGGTCCCTCTGAGGCTAACTGATGCTTACCCCTGTCCTCTTTTTTTCCTCGACTACGACTTGCTCTGTTACCTGCGCTTGCCCCCTGTGTTCTGGAGGCTGTGCATCTGCTGCTGCCCTCAAATTTTCTCCAAGTTCCAAATGACTAGATGACAGAATAAAGGTGACCAGACAAAACCTTTTTAGTTAAACATTTTTATTGATTTACATTGCACAGATTTTAACTTTCCCATCACCTGCGGATTTTGTATCCATGTTCTGATAGTTGAAGAGAGTTGAAATAGAACGTAATCTCAAGCATGCTTTTTATCAAATTTTAATGTTTCTCAAGGTGCATGCTGTATAGTTGCCACTCTTCACCATGTTCCACGGCGCGGTAAAGTCCTCTGCTACTTACCGTTTCAGAGTGTAGTTGTATTAATTTACTCAACCTGTCAATAAATCAGACTGGGCTTGTAAGATGTTCATTACCATCCATTCTTCCTCTTTGTTTTGCAGCTTTGAGACGAGATAAATTAAAAATCTTTACGTTTTGGTCGAAGAATTCTTTTTCTACGATGGCAGCGTCGTTCATCAATGAAACATTGTAGAGGCTGATCTCTGGAAACACTGGTGGCCGGCATTCATCACCCTTAAGATATCCTTCCGGAACTCGTAATAGGAACCATCTTTTGCGCATTACAAGCATTTTAACATCAGCTGCTTGTGAGTACCTGTCTTGAATGTTTTACGATTTTTACTCAATAAAGTCTTCTACTCTAGAGAGGCGCACTGTTTTTTCTTTTTCCTGCAATATAGTACTATAGTATAGATAACAATACATAACACTAATAGTAACAAAGAACATAATAAACTCTTTTTACTGACTTCTTCGTTTCCCAATGTATGCAATGTGGGGAATGCACTCACATTTCAGATCCTCAGCATTGCATACATCCAAAAAGTTAGGATTTCTCATCGGGCCCCCGAGGCCATCCATATAAGCTTGTAAATAGAATGGTTAACATTTGCTTCAAAGTGTCTTAAATGAATAAATATAACTATAAGTTCCTTACACATTTCCTGTAAATATATATAAGGTACTTCTATTGAAGAGAGACATAACATTAGCAATACTTATCATAATGCCGTAAGGCACTTTTGGTGACCAGGTCAGGGCGTAGGCAGAGCTTTGTTTATGACATTCCTCTCTCAGATCTATTTGTCGTGCTCCAAGAAAGCAATTCAGCTGGTTCATGTTGAACTGTTTAGAGGTGGAAAGCTGCTCATTCATACCTGACTCACTTCATTTTTCTTTTTTTCGGTTTCATTTCTGCAAGAGGGCGGAGTGTACAAGAGGACAGGTGGAGGTGCTGTTGAGACTTGGACATGGCAGCGGCACTTGTCACTTTTTTTGCACGTGGGTGGCTTTTTTTACAAAGGGTTTTTGTTTTGGTTATAGTCAAAGCAACACAAGAACACAGTAATACTAGGAAACAAATAACAATAAATGCCAGTAACATTAGTGGTAACCTAGACATCTAAGATGAACAAAAACAGAGTCAGTAACACCACCACATGATGGGATGAGGTGGGGTGTATCCCCAACACCGCCCCAGGCTATATTCGTGCATCTGATGGTCTTAGGAAAAATGTCAAGGAGCTGGATGAGAGGGTAACACTGACCTTTTAGATTATCTGGCACATATTTAGGATCTATAAAACAACACAAAGAGGGTAACGCTCAGCACATATAACCAACATAGGACTGTATATGGCCAAACCCAACGCGAACAGTCATGCTATGGTAAGCCTGATGGTACCAGCGAGTTAAATAGAAGAGTTTTAAACCACAACAACCCAGTAACAGTGTGGACAAAAATGGAAGGGATGGTAAATGAGCCCTATAAGAGTAGGGCAAGACAGAAAGGGACAGAGGATAAAGATAAGAGTAGAAGGTAGGATGCGCAGGTATCAGCCTTGACCCTCAACTCCGCAGACTGCATATTTGGAGTGAGAGCGTGGATTGATCCATGTTCAGGGACCACATTAGAGTGGGAATCATTCAGGATAGCCGAAAGCTTGTCATGTACCATAATACCCATGACCCTTTGTTTAAGCTCCAGAAAATATAGGGCTGGCTGCTTCCATGCTTGGGCAATGGTTTGGTGGGTGCTCAAAAAGATGAAAGTTGCCGTTTTTTTGCCGAGTCCAGGAAGATTGGTGTAAAACCTATTAAGTACGGCTTCCCAAGGGTTATGAGTCATAGTAAGATTTAATACTGACCTGATTAAGTTATATACCCATATCCAGAGTTTTTATCCTTTTGGGCACTGCACCAGATATGAAAAGGTGTATCCAGAGTCCCACCACCATGGAAGCATAGGGATGAAGTACCTGGAGCAAACTTGGATATCCTGTCTACATTAGGCATTCTTCCACCTACTATGCAAGAAACCCTCATAGTCTAATTCTTGAAACCTGGTAGGGATGCCACTAAATGCAATTCCTAATCCATTATCAATGTGGACACTAAGGTCTTGGCTAAAATTCTGGTGATGCGTATCAACAATTATATATCTTATCTCATTGGTAGTGATCAGACGGGTTTAATGCCGGGCCAGTCTACCAGATTAAATATCTGTAGACTGTTTACTATCCCCATTCCAGAGGTAGAGCTGTTGTTCCCTCGATACTCATAAAGCATTTGACAGTGTGGAATATTTACTGTGGGTCCTCCATGTGTTCGGGTTTTGGCCCTAACTCGATCTGATGGATTAAGATGCTATACAATTCTCTTGTAGAGGGGATCCGAGTTAATAGGGACGTTTCTCCTCCTTTTGGTATATCCCGGGGGACTAGGGAGGGGTATCCATTGTTCCCAATCCTTTTTGTTCTGGCATTTGAACCACTCGCAGCCATGGTCCGCACAGCTCCTCTGGTGCGGGGACTGCTATTTCATAAGCTAGAGGAACCTATATCACTTTATGCTGATGTTAATTTACTTATCAAACCCGAATAACTCTTTTGCTCACTTACTTTAATTGCTGGAACAATTTGAATTCTATTCTGGTTTTAAAGTCAACTCGGATAAGTATATTTTTTTCTCTTTGGACCCATAATGATTTCCAACATTCACCCCTCATCTTTGTTTCAAGTGGCTCATAAATTTAAACATCTGGGTATTCAGTTTCAGCTCCCTCTCTCTTCCTATATTGACAATAGTCTGCTCCCGGTAAAGAATCCTCTCCAGTTAAAAACGAAACAGTGGATGGATTTGCCGTTGGATCGTATGAGTAGATAACCTTATAAAAATGATCTTTTTACCAAAGCTTTTGTATATTTTAGCTAACTCACCCTGTGACATCCCACAAAAATACTTTAATTAAATTAATTATATTTGCGTATCTTTTCCTTTGGAAGGGATGCTTTACCCGGGTGGCTCTTGAGGTGTTGCAGTTTCCTTGCTCCAAAGCAGGCCTTGCCTTTCCCAATTTTCATCTGTACTATTTGGCAGTCCTCAGGTAGTGGTTTACGATTGGTTGGTCCCCGATGCAGGAAATGCCTGTACAGTGATGGAGGCGGCAATACTTACCTCTTTTGAGTCCTTGCATAATATCCTGTATAGGGGGGTTCCTGGCGCTTAACAGGGCATTGCCCTTCTGTTTATGACGATTCAAATTCCTAAATATGTTTTCAAATGGTTGAATGCAGCTGACTGGTTCCTATCTCTGTACACACCTCTTTGGGTGAATCCAGTCTTTCAGGAATTCCTTAACTTACCCTCAGCTACTTTTTGGACCTCAGCTGGTGTTACATTTTTTCAGCATCTTTTTAAGACTGGTTGAATTGTCACCTTTCCTCAACTCAGGGAGGAGCTGGAGCTATGGCACACCTCTTTCCAGGTGTATTTTTAACTACTACATGCAGTCCGTAGTCAGTTTGATCAGCTTCTTTAACTCTAACTCAATCCCCTCTTGAGAAAATGCTACGTAGGGAGAGCTCCTCTAAGTTAATTTCCACCTACTATGCTGAATTGATGTCACTAGATTTTGTAGATTTAATAAGATTAAGTGGAAATGGCAGCATCTTCTTTTCAAAACTGAACCCTGAAGACTGGTATGATTTTGAAGAAACATATATGTCCTCTCTTATAGTGTCTAGGGAAAGAATTATACAAATTAAATGTTTCTATCAGGTGTAGTACACCCCATCACTCTTGTGTTCCATGGACCTCAGCTTCTCTCCACACTGCTTTAAGCGGTGTGAAGAGAGAGCAGATTTTTTTCACTCCTGTTGGTCCTGCTCAATTATTTGTGCCTTCTGGTCGGCAGTTACTGAATTTTTGGAGATTAATCTAGGCCTTACCAATGTGTGCAATCCTCGTTTTGTCCTTGGATTGCTGGGTCAGCTTATGTTGGACTCTGGGGCTCAACGTCTTCATCGTATTCTCCTTTTTCATGCCAGGAAAGCTATTCTTTTGGTGTGGAATGGCCCACAGGCTCCTTCCCTGAGTTGTTGGAAACGCATTGTAAATCATTCTCTGTCACGCCTGCCGGATGGAGTAAGGTTTGGATCGCAGCTGCGGAGTAGTATGAGGTGAAAAGTCAGGAGGAGACGGCTTCTCAGGCAGGAATCTCAGGTGTCACTCTCAGTCTTAACGGAGAGTTTGAGATTCTAGCATCACAGCCATATGGAATCAACGAAGGTATACTGGAGAGGGTTATTACTTCATAACCTGTCTCTCAAGGAGTACACTGGAGTCTGTATTAAATAATGATAACAGTTGTAAGCAGAGCTAAAGCATGCAAAACGTCTAAAAGCCAGTTGGTCCAAATGCACAGGTGATAGTTTTCCCCATAGGCAGTCTATATCACAATTGAGGCTTGAACAGAGAAGGGCTCCAACCGGAGCAGTACTTGCGGTTTGGTATCTGCGAGTGGCAGCAGTGGTGGATCCTTAGGGGTGAAGGTGAGGCGTTCCAGGCTCTGGGATCCTTGGCACAGTAGGAGCAGTGTGGAGGTTCAGGAGGCAGCAGGCGTTCTGACTCCAATAGTGGAACGCCATGCTGCCTCTTCAGTGGCCTTATATAGTCCCATGAAGTGGGAGGTGGCGCCGGCCCGAACCAAGCGGCTTCCGTGTTCCACCGTGGAACTCACGCCGCCCAAATCAGGAAGTCGAGCGGCTTCCGCGTTCCACAGTGGAACGCAGAGCGGCTGTCCCTGCAGGAGGTAAGACCGGAGCGGCACGGCCCCGACGGGTGCCGTTACATTCTCTTCCCCTTTATAAAATAACCTACAAGCAGAGAGGTAGGCATCAGCTATTTGAACGTATTTGGGGTCCCTGGTTAGCTTCTACCAACACAATAGTTGATGCAACATGATCTTGCTTCACGTTCTGACATCTTCTGGCTGTTAATTTATATGTTTTCCATGTGTAATGGCGTATTTACAAAAGATATTGTTTCTGCCTTTTTTCCTTCGGTCAACTCATATCGGTGCTGCTGTTGTTTGTAACTGACCTGATTCTTGTTTGTTAATTGTTTGTTATGAGTGCTCGAACATGTGGGCGTGGCCTTCTTGGTGTATACCAAGATCTGCTCCAAAATGTCGGCGCACATGTGCAGAACGCGCTGGTGGTCGATATGGCCACTGCTCGTTCAGCGTGTGACGTCACCATCATGTGACATCATACGCTCTGCCTCCAAGATGGCGGCGGACAAGCACAGAACACGCTGGCAGCCAATATAGCCGCTGGCATGTTCGGAAAACAAATTGATGTATGCCCGAATATGGTTTTAGTATATTCGGGCATTAAGTCTGTTATATCGGATTCTGACGAACCGCCGAATCAACAGATTTTCGCTGATTTGCCGGTTTGTCCGAATCCGAATGTCTAATGAAAGGTAATCTCAATCTCCTGTGACCGTCACCAGAGAAATCTTATGAAATGCACCTCACCTTTAGTAGAGACCTATCAGGGTCTGTATGCACTATTAGAGCCAGGCAGAGGAAGCACCTGAAGCCGAACACCTCCAGGTGATTTTCTCCTCTCAGTTACAAACTCCTATTATTGGCCTCAGGAGTTGAGCAGATGGACTATGCATCAAATAAAAAAGTGGAAACTGGAAGTGCAGATGGTTTTCAAAAAGATAATATACTTTATTAAAAAACTGCTCACATTCCATTGGTAAGAAATAAGCTTCTGATTGACATTGATATTCTTTTTACATTGTATCACATTGTCTCACGGCTAGCATCAGTTGTATCTGATACTTTGTAGTTTAATTTGCAGAGCGCGGCTTTCTCATTGTCAATTTTGTATTATATCTGATCACACAGATTCCGGCTGCTGCTTGACTTGATAGGCGCGAGGTTTCACATTATTCATGTCATTTTAAATTGTCCAAGTGCATGGATTTTTTTATTTTCTGAAGACTATGAACAATTTTAACTCTGAAAGCCTCAGTCCTTATCCCGTATATCAGTGGGTTTAGAGAGACAGAGACAGTTAAACCAATCATAGATATCACCACATGTGTGGCAGTGGAGAGAGAACCGCTGTTTAACCTGTACCTGAAACCAACAAACAAGGTAGTGGTCATAAAGATGGAGAATGCCATTATGTGGGTCACTAGAGTGTGAACGGCTTTCTGAGAAGTGTCCGTTGTGATCTTGAAACAGATGAGAAATGTCCTTATGTAGCAATATATCACAACTGATAAGGAGACAATGACCATGAGCAATGTCCATGTGGTCCCATAGATATCATTGGCTACTGTGCTTCCACAAGCCAAGCGAATAAGGGACATGGTCTCACAGTAGACATTGTTGATGTTTATGCCACACAGGGTTAGCCGCACAGTTAATACCGACCCGACAATTCTGCTTAAGATGACCAAAAGCCAAATGAGGAACGTGGACTTTACAGCCTTTCCATTGGTCATCAAAATGTTGTATCTCAAGGGGTGGCTGACAGCCAAATATCGGTCATATGCCATGACAGTGAAGGTAAATACTTCAACGGATGCAAAGCTCTGGAGGCAGAACGCCTGTGCAATGCACGCAGGAAGCGAGATGGTGGAGCAACCAGAGAACAAGTCAATGGTCAACTTGGGGAGGAAACACGAGCCTCCAAGCATGACGTTGAGGACCAAGTTACATATGAAGATGTACATGGGCTCATGTAGGGTTTCCTCTGTCCAGGTTATGTAGACAATCATGGAGCTTATGACCATAATCATGAGGTAAAGTCCAAGAGAAAACACAGAATATATGTATTTGTAATTTTCCATCTCTCTGAGCCCCAACAGAACAAAACTTCCACCAATAGAGATGTTTTCCATCTTTGAGATAACGGTGTTTCTTTTTATGAATACTACCCGGCTTACAATGTAATTGTTTTGTTATATTTTTTTGCCAAAATATAACAAAATAAAAAATAATAAATTCTGCTAGATCTGGTCTAACAGAAACATGAATTCATCATGCCTCTCCATGGAAGATTAAGGAAGCACTTCTTATATTTATAGACACTATTTACCAGGATTGATTCTGCATGGAAGTAGAAAAGGTCAATCCCATGGGATAGGAGATGCTGCACAGCTACCCAGGAGGTTCAGATTGTTACAGCTGGTGAGAAGCTAATTTGTAGTAATTAGGTACGTTAATCAGCACATCTTCAAATCTACTGAGATACTATGGCCACTTCGGCCTCCTGAACCTTAGTACAAGAGAAAACTATGATGGTTTTAAAAAACGAATGGCAAACGCACTCATCAACTCATAACCAGCTTTCAAGCGCGGTGCACATGGAAGGGCTTTATACAGTACAACAGCAAAAAGTTTCCCAGCACACTCCCCAGCCAGCATGCAAAAAAAACCTGTCTCACCGCTAAGGTTTAAAACAGAGGCTTTAGATACACGTCTTCTGCAGAATATGTGAAAGCTGCACAGCCATGTCAAGGCTCCTCTGGGTAGTGTGGTCCTAACTCTAACCTATGAGAGTCTCCATCTGGGAGCACATGAAGCAAAAGATTTGGTGCAGTGACGCATGGGGGGTCTTAGCTGCCGTTGTTATGTGCGGGGTCCCTTGTGTGTCCCCGTGCCTTTAAGGAGGTTGGGCTTCCTCCTGGGGAACCTGCACCCAATTTTATCTTTTGCTACATGTGCTCCGAATCAAAACGAAATTAAACTAAACACATTTTTTGTCGGTGAACATGTCTGTTATTTTGGTGTTCAGAAGTTTTATAACAATGCTTTATATGTATTTTTATAACTCTTCCAGAGACAGGGATCCTGAGAATAAGTTGGCTAACCGCACAAAGGCCTAGGTGGTGATAGGGGGAAGTCTGTCTTCTAGGGGGACTTGGCTCCTAGAGGCAGAGCTTTCCCGAGAGGGGACAAAATGTCCATATGGAAACCTGAGCTGTCCAGGGGGGGCTTGAGTGGTAAAAGCCTCAAAATTTGTCCTAATGGGGGACTTAGGCTTTTGAAAATCTGGCAGACTTCTGGAGAGAGATCAGGCAAGTTTTCTGTGCAGGGACCTGAGTAATGAGGGCAAGCATTCCCCCAGATAGCAAGCAATTGAGCTGCAAGTTTGAAAATAACTTGCTAAACTATTGCAGACTTGCCACACTTCACAATTGTGTTGTACAATTACAGCAAGTCTCCAGATCAACGTGCTTTGCAGAAGTGCTGTACACTTGCAGAGCTCTTGCTGAGACCTGCAGGACTCTTGCTGTAGACCTGCCAAGCAAATTTGCTACAAATTCAAAAAGTGTCGCCTAGAACTTGTGCTGCGAGTGTTCTGCAAGTCTACAACTTGCCAGGAATGTGTGCAGCAAGTTAACAAGAATTACAATTTAACCCTGCCACAAGTTTGTGGCAAATTATCCTCGCTATCAGGGCCACTGGGGACTTAACTCTCAGAGACAGAGGTGTAACAAGATCATGCAAGTTATATTCCCCATACAACTTGCATGGTCATTAGTCACTATAAGTGGGGTAACAGTCTGTAAGAGAGTGGCACCTAACCGCCATCCAGAAGCCAAGAAGCAGGTAAGCTTTTTAGTGGGCAGTTGGCTGCTGGAGGCAGTTGGGTGGAAAGACTGGGCATGGTGTCCTGGGGACTTGTATGCTAAAGACAAGCTGTCTGGCAGGGACTAATTATCAGGAGACAGAAGGTCCTACATTGGGGACATAAACGTGCAAGGCAAGACAAGTGCACATGGGCTACCTAAGTGGGGAAAGCTCTTTAGTGAGGAACCCGCTACTGAAGACAGAGTTGTGGCAAGATGGTGAAAACTTTCTAGTGGGGGAGCATGAGCAACAAAAGTTGGGGCAGGCTGTCTACATCTTGATGGTAAAAAAGGGGTAAGTAATCTGTATGGAAAGCTGGGAAGAAAAACCAAGCAAGCTGTGCAATAAGACCTTTAGACACAGATGTGTGACCAGACCGGGCAAGCTATTTGTGTGGGGACCTGGGTGACAAAATCAGGACCTCCTTCCTCCTGCTGGTAATCCCTCTAGTCATGCACCCCAGAATTCTAGTCACTTTCCCCACTGCCAGAGCACACCGTTTTCTCATTTTGCAATCAGCTGAAAAAGCATCCGCAATTTTTTTTTCTTCTCTAATTCTGGCCAACACTATTCCTGCAAATTCCTCTATTACAAATTTTTTCCCCCCTAAATGCAATAATTTACATGTGTGCTTAGTTAGGTAGTTCCAATGACGTGATATGTTTTTATAGATGGTGTAGAGGACGGCAAGGCTGGGTCCTGGATGGGAGATATATCTCCCTGCTGTTCGGGTTGTGGTCCCTTTAAGGGCCACCACAGGCTTAACCTTCCTGCCCCAGGAAGGGGTTTAAGGCTGTGTTCACACCTAGGCGTATCGAATATGCGCGTTTGTCTCGCGTTTTTTACAGCGAATCGCGGTAAAATCGCACGACAGACGCGCGTTTCCGAGGGCTACCTGGCTGTATCCCAATCGATACGCGCGCCAAATACGCCCCAAATAAGCTCCTGTACTTCTTTGGGCGTAGGGCGTTTTGCAGCGCGTTCCTACGTGCTGTAAAACGCCCAGGTGGGAACCACGCCCATAGGCAATCATTGGTTTTCACATGTTGAGCGTTTTACAGAGCGTAGGAACGCGCTGTAAAACGCCCAGGTGTGAGCCAGGCCTAAAGGCTTTCAACTCCCAGAGAGGAGTGTGGGAGTTGAGGAGAGAGAGTAATCAGCTGTGGCTAGTGAGAGACCTAATCCATCACAATGGATTAGGTCATGCAGCTCAGCTGTGGGGTCTGGCAAGGCATTTGTAAAGCTGCCCATACACCTGGCGATTATCGTACGATAATCGCAGGTAATCCTGTGATCGTACGATAATCGGCAGGTGTATGTGCAGCGTGCGACCGCATATACTGTAAGGTCGCACAACTTTCGTCTTATGAGCATGCTAGAAAACCCGCCGAAAATCGCGTGATTTTTGGTGGGTTTGTAGCGCGATCGCAAGACGAAAACCGCACGGGCCAGGTTGCGCAGGCGCACACTGCCCGCTCACCATTGCAATCATCTGTAAGCCCTCCTTACAGATGATTGCAGATGATTGTAAGCCCAGCGGAGGGGCTGATGATCGCAAGTACGATCTGCCTGTCCAAGATGGGCAGGTCGTAATTTTAATCACCTTACAACCATCGCACAACGAAAGTCGTGTGATGGTTGTAAGGTGTATGGCCACCTTAAGTCAGGTGTCTCAATGCCCAGACATGGCCCAAGGCTCTCCAGAGCTTTTTATGGTTCTCCGGTGTGACATTGTGACCCTGATGGGGATACACAACAGACAGCAACAGAATTCTGACAGGGCTGTAGAACCGGAAGGCTTATTTTAATGGTTGTCTGTGTCCACCATTGGGTTTCCTGGCACCATTGGGTTTCCTGGGACTTCCTCTTCTGCCTGACATCAATTAAATAGGACATGGGAAATTTTCCCTACTTCCCTTTCTGTCCAACAACAGCCAAATAGACAGGAAGTGAAGAAAAAATGTCCCAACATTTGCATTCACTCTCTGAGCCTCACACATCAGTTTGAGAGTCAGCTTTTTGAAATGCTAAAAATCATCTAGTGGACTGGAAATGTAACAAACACACATATACAGAATGGGTTATATTTCAAAATATTTGTAAAACCCCTTCAGAACTCAACTGGCCTGTGACAGTGCAGTGTAAAGATTGTAGATTTCAAATACACTATATTGCAAAATGTATTGGGACGCCTTTCCAAGCACATGAACTTTAATGGCATCCCAGTCTTAGTCCATAGGGTTCAGTATTGGGTTGGCTCCGCCCTTTGCAGCTATAACAACTTCAACTTGTAGGTAGGTGCAGTATGGCCAACGGCCACTAGATGCCCCCATGGGGCCCTGGAGATAGATGCAGCTCTGGCCTGGGGAAACTCTGTGTCCCAGGAGAGTTGATTTATAGGGGGCGCCCGAGAGGGGGAAGTAGGCAGAGATTACAGGAGAGCAGAAGTCTAGGACTGTCTGCAGAGTCTCTGGAGAGAGACTGTTTCTTGAATATAGGCTGGTCCATGGGAAGGACAGGACCAGGCCTAGGACTATGTAGAGCTACAAAGATTCCCTAGTTTCCCCACAGGGGGAAACCCACCGTGCTAGGACTGACAATGGATGGGATTCCGGTGAATAGTGAAGTGCTAGAAGACTGACGATATTTGCCAGTGGGCCTATGGCCGAAGTAATTTGTGACTCTGGGCTGCACCTGGGCTGATGTACCTCTCTCTCTCTAACGTGTAATACCAAGCAAGTAACAAGAATTGTGCCGTCATCCCACCCGGGGGTGGCTGAAACGTATACTTTGTTCTATTTCTATCTTCAAGTAAAATCAACAAAAAGACAATCTGTGTGGACTGGTTCTTCTCCCTCCAACCTTTGAGAAGGTGGGGTTCTACCAGAGTGTGATTGTCACGTACCTGGTGGAGCTTGAGATGACGAGGGTGGCCCCTCTCTTGCAACCTGGGAGTGTTTGCACGAGGCCAAGGCCGTGGCCCCTGACCGTGGGGTGTCTGGTTTCAAGTTGCATGCACGGGTTTACACAGCCAACCCAGAAGGGAACACACACGCAACACCCCGAGAGTGGACCCCGCCTACAAACTCTTCTGGGAAGGCGTCCACAAGGTTCTGGAGTGTGTCTATGGGAATGTTGGACATTTTGTGAGGTCAGGTACTGATGTTGGAGGAGAAGGCCGGGCTCGCAGTCTCCACTCTAATTCATCCCAAAGGTGTTCTATCAGGTTGAGCTCAGGTTCTGTGCAGGCCAGTCAAGTTCCTCC